ATTACACAAACATTAATACATATTACCCCAGCCTAGGTTTGCCATGTCATTGTACTGAAATGCAATTGATTTTCTCTTTCATACACATTGAGAAATCTGCTCGATTTCCACATGGAGCAGCAATAACTGGTGGTGTGAGGCTGCTAACACACCTCCCTCATGAAGATGGGGGTAGGCATCCCATTGCTGTAGACCAGCTACCTGTAGCTGACAGTGCAGAGTCCTTGCAATAATTCTGTTCTTCCTACGACTTCATTCCTTTGTGTCTGGCAACTAATTCAGCTCTGTGATGCAGCTGCTTCCTTCCTATCCCTCCTTCAGCATTTGTTCATATTTGCTTCTGTCTTTTGCTGTTCTTTAGTTCTGGCCACATCCCTCTGCATCTGCAGTACATGGCATCAGGATCATTTGTCTGATGTTTCATTTTTCATTTGATTTGAATCAAATTTGCTGCACATAACATGTGGTGCTATTAAAAAAAATAACTCTAAGGTGATTAGCTATTGGTATAGGATAATAAATGCCATTAGCCTGTTCTTCAGAATGAAGCTATTTAATGAAAACAAACGGAATATGGTGCATATCTGGCCATGGAAATTCAAGCCCACCATCTTTTCTTTGGAAGGAATTTCTCATCTGCTACATCACTAGATGTGGTTGTATAACAGTCATACCTACTTGACTGGAATTTAACTTTAAAATGACCAGCACTAATGAAATCTCTGATTTGATGTCCTGCTACAGTAAACCTCTCATGAACTGCTAGATTTAATTTCCATGAATTGTTATTTCCATATGAAAGATGATTTCTTATGAAGAATACACACAACCTTGCAAGTAGATGTTTGATGATCCTTTGCATTTTTATTATCTGGGCACTGTGAGACAGCTCCTGCAGTGTAGGAGGTGATATGTATTAAAAGGTAATTTAAGTCTCTGTTGGGTAATAATATTAAAATTTCCAATAATCTTATCTTTCTACTGTAAGCCAATTCTTTCTTGGCAACACTTCAACCAATTTCATGGTCCATATCCCTAATAAGGACTATCTAAGTTTCTCAGAAGCAGTTAATAATTGCAGCATTGGAAGCCTGGCCCCCTCAAACCTGCCCTGAACCAAAATTATGCCCAGGCCATTAAGGAATTAAAAAAAAAAAAACCAACAAAACAAAAAACCAAAACCCAAACTACTTTATCATAGTGAAGAAGCTGCATGTTTTACAGGTACTGCTTCTTTTTCTTGAAACACAATGATTTGTCCCTGGCCCTGCCCTCTTCTAAGTGGAAAATATTTATAGCACATACGTAAGAAACCTATGTAGAAAATAATATATTACTATTTACACTGGTGCACTGCGTAAACAGGAAAGGGGAGAAGGTTTTTAGCCCATAGAAGCTGAAGCTGCAGTTGTTTTCATGAACTAAGGAATGCTGAGCCAGAAAGAACTCAGATCTGTAGAGATTAGATAGGAAATGAGAAAAGTATCAGTATGTGAAATTACCCGTACACAGAAATTAGGCACCTCCTTATTCTGCATTGAAAATTCTGCACGTGGCTTGAGCCTTTCACCATTGTTTCCTCTTACATGTATCTTGCAGTTATTTTCTGCTGTCATCTAAGAACAGCCCACTCTCCCCATTTAGCTACACTCTTGGAAAGTGTGAAAGGTGCTCTTTCTGTACAGCTCCTTCATTCAAGACTTCTACAGGATAATCAGAGCCTTGCTTTACCCTTACCTTCAATTATCAGAGGTTGAATGTGTCAACTCTTCTACACTCCCACTAATTTAGATAGCATTACTCCACAACACCTGCCCAGTCTGCTCATTTGACTTCTAAAGCAGCATGAAGTGTATGGGAGGAGCTGATCCATTTGGATTGTTATTTAATAGCTGTTTTGCAGAAGTGCCTACAGGCATTAATTAAGATCAAGGTGCAAAGAAGACTTACAGTGAAAAATAGTCTCAGCCCCAGAGAGATCATAATTCACTTCATAGCAAGTTACAACAGGTAAATGTGATAAATTGACTGTAGGGAGTGTCCAGGCATTTTCTGGAGAGCACAGATTATTTCCATGTATATATTTACAAATACAGGAATGCTCAGGTTGTTGAAGATACCAATTTCTGTCTAATCTTAAATGACCTCCCTGATGTCATAAAACTCTTTTTACAAGATTTATGAGATTCCTTCCCCACCTACTGTGTTGGATACATTATACCTTAGAAAAAAACATCAGTTCTTTATCCCTCCCTTTCCAATAAAATATTATGTATTGACTGCTTTTCAGCAGAACAAGAGATAAAAACAAGCCTCATGCATCTTATGGTCAAAATCAAAATACCTTCCATGAGGGGAGGAGCTAGCCAAGATCCATTCTCATGGAATTAATTGTAAAATGTATTATTAGGAAGCTGTGTTGAAGTTTGAATGGACCTTGGTAACAATCAGACACAAAGGTTTAGGAGACCATAATATCTAATAGGGTTATTTTTCCATTAAAAATAGGGGATAGTTAATTTTGTACCTGGAGATAAAGGTCAATTTGATTTATTTCAGCTTGTCAAACTTTATGAATAAATCTATTATCTGCAGTAATATTCCTTAACAAGGTATTTCTAGCTGATTTCCTCCCAATTTTGAATTACTGAAAACCATCCATTAAATAATTAAGGCCCAATTTTCCTCTCACTATAGATATTTTTCTATTACATTGTATGCTATGCAGCTCTTTATGTTATGCAAAAGTACTGTAAAATACCACCAAATCAAAAACCTTACCAGCTGGCCTTAGGGGTAGTAACCTACCTCTCCTTTCCATAGATGTAAAATCACCTTCCTATACAAACAGGCCACTTCCTCCAAAAAGAATCAGCTGCAAGATCAGGATGTAAATAATGAGCAAAGATAAAAGCAGGGAAATATTAATCTCAGATGTAAGCAAATTAGAATTTTGCTATTTTTAGTACAACTAGAATGGGTATTTTAACACTTTAATAACATGAAGCATTGCCTACAGCACACGATGGAATTTTTTTTGCTATTATATGTCCCTTTACTATTCAATTACTTCTCTTTTACATAAAATTACCTGTGATTTAAAATATGGACTACAATGCTTTCAAAGGGAAAAAAAAGAAATATGATGGTCCAAATATTCTTGTAAATGAACCCTTTTCAGCATCCACATCAAGAAATCTTGAAGTCCTCTAGACAAAAAGGCAAGACTAATATTGAAAATGACCATTCTCTTTTACTGAAGCTCAGCTGGTCTAAGATTTGGGTGGTTGCCCAGAGAAGCTGTGGATTCCCCATCCCTGGAACTGTTCAAGGCCAGGTTGGACGGAGCTCTGAGCCACCTGCTCTAATGAAATGTGTCCCTGCCCACAGCAGTGGGGTATCGCAAATCAAAGGCGACTCCGACGAAGGGGAGAGAATGATGCATCTGACTCCACTGATATCAGAAGGCTAATTCATTACTTTATTATACTATAGTATTCTATACATCTAAAACTGAATCTGCCAAGCACTCAACCCTGCACACAACTGCACAGTCCACACACTCATGCACTCTTGGCCTTGACAGGCCAAGGAAACAAAACATCCTCACTTTGGATAAACAATCTCCATGTTCCATTCTACTTTGGCACAACACAGGCACAGCAAGCAATAAGGATTGTGCTTTCCCTTTCTCTGAGGTTAAGCGAATGTGAATCTCAGAAATCCTTGGGAAGAATTGTGTCTTGCCTTTTCTCTGTGAAGAGAAATGTGGCAACACTGGGACCGTAACTAGATGATCTTTAAAGCTCCTTCCAGCACAAACCACTCTATGATTCTATGATTGTGATACTAACTACAGAAAAACATACACTTGGACTGGTAGAGTTAGCTAACCGTTAAATATATGCTTTTATTGTAAAGATTGATTTATTATTTTTTATCTAAGGACTTTTGCAGCATGCTCTGCTCTGATCCTCCTGTGTGCTGTTGCACACTGGTCCGGGCTGCACCCGACACAGGCCCAGTGACCATCTGCATTGGCACAGCCGCACAAACTGCACTGGCAAAGGCCTAAGTGAACCTTAGGGCACTGCGGGGAACAGAACCATGGTACGGCAGCAAGAAGAGCTGAGAGAAAACAATCCTCCTGCAGGCCTCCTCTAACACCTGTATGCTCTGGAAACAGTAAATGTAGTCAATGTGTTATCAGACACTCGTAATTAGTTCTGGGAAACGTTTCACTGCTCCAATCTGCCTGAGATATGAAAATGCAGGATTACTTAACATGTCTCTGTGCTGTGGGAAATCTTTCTTGCAACCTTTCTTAGCCAGGCACCAGTGCGTGTTCACTCAGACCCGAACACTGCTGCCATCCCTGTGCGCCACGCGTCCATCAGAACCCTGTCACCCACTACGTTATTCCCGGCCCCTCCCGGCCAGTCTCTCCGGTTTCGCGGGGACAGGTCAAAGGCACATACAGCACGTACGATGGGAGCACAGAGCCAGGCTGGCACTTTTATTTCAGAAGCAGCTCCGAGCCCGCCTGTGCCGAGGGCGCTCCCGGGCCCTCAGCTCTCCCGCCCCAGCCGGGCCGCACGCCCCGGGCAGTGGCGCAGGTGCGCGGGGAGGCACCGCCCAGGGCCGGCAGGGGGCGCGCTAGAGTGACAGCACCTACACCCAATGGTGTGGAGAGGGGGCGGGGCACAGCAGAGCCGGCCCCAGGGCGGCCGGGACCTCGGTGGAGTGACGGCACCCGCGCCCAATGAACGCGCGCTCTCCCGAGAGGGGGCGGGGCGCTGGGCCGCCGGAGGGGCGCTGCCGCCCGCCGCGGGGCGGGGGTCTGCCGTAGGCGGAGGGCGCGGCCGCGCCGGCCTGCCCCGAACGGGCCGCGTGAGGCAGCGGCTCCGCCTCGGGGGGGCGGAGGGGGGAGGAGGAGGAGCGGGGGCTGTTCAAGGCAGGGCGTGGGCGGGGAGCGGCCCCTTCCTGCGGCCCGAAGCGCTCGGCTGCGGACGGTACGATACTCAGGTTCTCCATGAGCGGCCGGCGCCGCCGGCCAATGGGCGAGGGGGAGCGCGGCTCGGTCCCCGCCCCACGAGCGCGGCCTGGCCAATGGGAGGGCGCGGGGAGGGGCGCGCGGGGCTAGGCGCGCGCTGGGAGGCGCCCCGCCACCAGATGCAGGGGAGAGTCGAGCAGGCGGCGGTGGCAGCAGCAGCGGGAGACGCGGGAGCTGAGCGGGAGCAGCAGCAGCAGCGACTGCGGGAGCCGGAGCTGGAGCTGGAGCCGCAGCAGTAGCGGCAGCAGCAGCGACTGCGGGAGAAGCAGCGGGAGCCGCAGCGAAGCGGCCGCGGGAGCAGCGGCGGCGCGTGGCCATGGGGTGGCGGGCAGCGCGCCCCTCCCCGCGCTGAGGGAGCCGCGGTAGGCTTGGGGCGCGGCGAGGGGCGGCAGGGGCGCAGGTGCCGGGCGAGCCGCAGTGCCGGGAGCGGCCGCAGCCGCCGGGCGGGGCGGGGGACGTGTGGCGTTCCGCGTCGCGCTGCCCGCGGCCGCCCCCGCAGTCGGGGCGGCGGCGCCGTGGCCGGCGCGTTGCGGGCGCGCAGCGCCGGCGGAGCGGGCTCTAAGGCCGCTTGTGTCGTTGGCAGGATCCGAGCGCAGCCGCGGGAGCCGCCTCTGCTCGTGGCAGCCTGCTGTCACCTTCCCTTTGGCAATGGGGAATGGACTCTCGGACCAGACGCCGATCCTCTCCAGCCTGCCTTCCTTCCAGAGCTTTCACATCGTCATCCTGGGGCTGGACTGCGCTGGGAAGACGACGGTGCTCTACAGACTGCAGTTCAATGAGTTCGTCAACACTGTCCCCACTAAAGGATTTAATACGGAGAAAATCAAAGTGACGCTAGGCAACTCGAAGACGGTCACTTTCCACTTCTGGGATGTGGGCGGCCAGGAGAAGCTGAGGCCGCTGTGGAAGTCGTACACAAGGTGCACCGATGGCATCGTGTTTGTGGTGGACTCCGTCGACGTTGAGAGGATGGAGGAGGCCAAAACAGAACTACATAAGATTACTAGGATATCTGAGAATCAAGGAGTACCTGTCCTTATCATTGCTAACAAGCAGGACCTGAGGAACTCTCTCTCCCTTTCTGAAATAGAGAAAATGTTAGCAATGAGTGAGCTGAGTTCTTCAACGCCCTGGCATTTGCAGCCTACCTGTGCAATCATTGGAGACGGACTTAAAGAGGGACTAGAGAAACTACATGATATGATAATTAAGCGAAGGAAAATGTTGAGGCAGCAGAAAAAGAAGAGATGAGTTCTTTTTTGACCTTTCTATTTTAGAGTAGTTACATGGTCAAAATTTGACGTAAGACAGCTTCCAAAGCCAGGCCTGCCTGTTTGGATGCCGTTAAGCTTAGTTACGTTGAACAATCAGTTGCACAACCTTACTGTGTACAGGAAGGCTGTGCAGTTGTGGATTTTTATTTTTTTTTAACTAGTTTCTTCTGAGTTTTTTGGCTCTGTATTATTTCAGAAGCCCTAATAGATGATGTAATGCTATCAGGAAATGGATGGGTGGGTATATGTGACATGGATGTCTAAATAGCCAAATAAAACGAGGGTTTTCTGCTTAGTGTTGTAGTCATATGTTTGAGGGTGCCCTCTGCAAGCAATTTGCATTGAAGGTGTTCTGTATTTTTAAATTTCTAATGCTCGTAAGTGGAGTGCTTAGGTGAACATTATACAGCTTTAAAAACATGTATGAAGCTAGTAACCCATAATTTTGTTGAGGCTGGTTTTTTACCTTGTTTGAGGATTTTTATGAAAGCTTGGCTACATGTGTAGGTTTTTTTTTTAATTTGGCACTTTTTGAAATTGAATCACGTTCAGTTCAAACACTTGAAATTTTAAGTGCTGTGGATTCTTCAACTGGTAAAAGAAAGACTTTGACAAGTAAAAACTGTAAACAACACGATGGAGCATGAAAAAGTGATTTCTCAACATATAGCATGTTTTTTGGTATATAAGGTTCTTATTTTTTAGAAGTAGCCATTCATCATTATACAGTGCTAATCAGGTTTAAACTGTTACTCAAAATTAGTAATTTATTTCTGAATGGTGAGTTTTATGTCCTCCTAGTATCAAAAGTCAGTGAATTGCAGTAAAGGAGCTATAAAGAACAACTCTGGCTGCTGTGGTTCTAACCAGTGCAGCATTCTTTGCCCTATTGGTGACTTTCCTGGCAATATAACATACTTATAATGAGGTAAAGATGGAGTTATAATTAGCAGAGCACATCTTGTATCTCCCCAAAATATCCCATTTTATTAAAGCAGTATTGCTATGTCACTTTCAACGTATGCTTTTTTTTTGTTGTGACTCTTACAGTATTTTGTGGTTAGGAATGTAATAATGCTTTATACACTCAAACATTAGACACTACCAGGGGTGGGGGCGGGGGGGAGGGAAAGGGGGAAGAAGATTTTCAAGATGGGCCTGTGTTCTGCTTTAATTATGCTTTAAGCTGTTCTTGTTTACAGAGTGTGCAGTGTTAACTGGGCAGGATAGTGCTTGACAGAAAAGGGAGGGTAGTTTTTCTTACTGGTACAGAGCTTCAAGTGACTTTTTAGATACTTGGTTAGCAATTAAAAGGGCTAAAGCAGAGCCTGGATTTTTAAGACTAACTTTAGTGGTGCTGTAGAAATTCATCAGAATGTTAGATTATCTTTAAACTTTTGTTGGAAATACCAGACTAAGAAAAAAAAAAAGTAGAAACTAGCAAAATCAATTTCCTCCTCTCAACCAGCAAAGTAATACATTTTTCTTACCTGCTGCCATGTATCAGGAGGATGACAGCTACAAACCGAATGTCAATCAATGTAATTTAGCTATGTTAAAAAAAAAATCAAGCTTTTTAACCAGCAGCTGTTTGACCAGGAGATAACCAAAAATGCACTTTAGTGTCTTCTATAACTGAAAGTGACAGCTGTTTGTTTTTTTTATGACATCTTGGTCCTTTTTGAATAAACTGAAGTAGCTTCCAGTGGAGCTTTTGTATGTTGGTTATATATGTACCTGCACTGGTGACATTGTAAGTCACTTACTCAAGTAATGTCTATATTTATAGAAATGTGGATGACTTCTTAAACCTCAATAAACAATTGAAAACAAGCCTGCAGAGAGAAGGTGTCTGACTTCTTGTGCTGCAGTGGTACTTTCTTATCAACCACTGTGCACATAGTTCTGCTATTATTCAAATCAGTATGTCTGTTGAATAACCAGTCTTAAAATGTGGTGAGGCTTATAAATGTCACAGTGTTAGAAACTGGAGTTATCTCATTGAAAACTTTGGATCAATGGTATGTCTTTATATTCATGGAAGAAATATCTGCTGCCATGACCCTTCCAAAGTGATGGCTCTTGCACAATTTGAAACATCTTGTATAGAGCTGAGCCTGTTTTGTGATACGTGCAACACTAAATAGGCAATGTTGCATACATCACATGTACTCTCAGGTGGTACTTGATTTAATGTCTTTAGCCTTGTGTATCTGAAGCTGTCTGAGGAATTCATCTGCAGTTAAGCCTTGGGTGAATTTTCTTCTGGGAAGTTACAGCAATGAGTAGAATGTGTTAATATGGCAAGCTTCTAATTAGTTTCAGGACCCAAGCGTAGACAAGAAAAACTTTGTTTAGCCTGCAAATGAAAATGGCTAAGTTTGAACCAGAACACCCAAATACCAGAATACTCTCTCTCAAAACCCTGATATTTTCATTTTTGTTTGTGTAACTGATGGCACATCAAAATGTTGGTTACTCTTAGTCCTGAGGAAAAAGCTGTATTAGTGATGCTGAGTCCTACGAATTTGGTGTATAACTGGTATAATCTGGCTAATACTTTCCTTCCTATTGGATGCACTGTGCTCCTGGGCTAAGGAAGGTGAGATGGCAAGCTGGCTCTTTGTACCAGGTAAACAAACTGATACCAAATACAAATTGCTCCATTTTCAGTACTCATGAGGCTTCTGTTGGGAATAGTTGAAAAGGCATACTGCTTGAAAAAAAACAACTGTGTTTTGTTTTGCATATTAAACATCCTAGTGTTTTATCTGGTGGCAGTCTCTCTCAACTCTTCTATGCATAAAAACAGCAGTGAATGATTTTAATTACAAAGACTTGACAGATCTGTACTCTAGCACTCTGGAGGGAAAAGTGAGAGAAGGTGGAGAGTACTGTTTCTAAAATGTCATGGTTCTTACTGTGTTAATACGGACTTGGAAGTAGAAGACTCTAGGGGATGATTTTTAAATTCAAGCTATGCCTTTATCTGTATTACAACTGTTTTGCTGGAATTTTACAGTGACAGTTCTGAGAGCACAGTATACAAATGTGGTAGCTTTACCTCTGAAAGTGTTTTGTGAACTATGAACAAAACAATGATTGCAGGAGAGCATTCAGCATCTGAGCTGATTGAGTTGCTGCTGGCACGATTCTGCCAGGTGTGGATCACATTTTTCCATATGATGAATTGTTGGTTCTGGCCTAAATACTGGTATGTGTAAGAGAAATCTTCAGAGTAGCTGAATAAGCAGGTGTCATGTTGTTACAATGCTGGAGTTACAAATTTTAAATTGAAAATGCTTTTTGCTCAAAGGGCTACAGATGAACGCTGTGTTCTGCAGGATTTCAGGTGACTATCTTAACCTGCTTCTCTGAGGAGGTAAGGAATTGCATCTGAATCGGTGCTATTGAACAAGCTATAAGGTCTTGTCACCTTGTCACTTGTTTTAGCTCATGAAAGTTTGCATAGCATTGCCTCAGCTATTTATACACAATCACAGTTAACCAGCCTTCAGGTCTCTGATTTCTAGCTGCATAGCTGTGTGTGAGCATCAGACTGTTTCAACTAGGAAAAATGGGATGATGAGGCTCCAGGTTCTCAGATCACTTTTAAGTTGCACTGTACTGAATGTGCATTTATATTTGGGAAAAAAAAAAAAAAAAAAAGTGAAACATTTTGCTCTTCAAATTTTCATGTTTTAGTGAGACACGATTGATCCTTTCTGTGGAAAGCAATACCCAGAGCCAGCCCATGCTTCCCAGCCTGACTTGGGTGCTTCTGTAGCCTTTACAGAGCACTCTGGGCCTGCAGGAGTTCATTACCCAGGACTTTGTGGTCACAGACCATCAAGGAGCTGGAAGCAGTCAGGTGGGGCCTAGCTAAGCCCTTCTGGACCTCAGCAGGTCTGAGTGAAGCAGTTTTGTCTCCTTGGGGGATGTTTTCTGTATCTTGGATCATTTGTTTACTAATAGCAGAGTGTTAATTAGTGTCTGGCTGAAACTTTTTGAGAGGTGAGTGTCATTCTTGACATGGAAGGAGGATTTAGATACTACAAATTGATGCTACAAAGGGCTTGGTAAGGCAGAGTGTGTAAAACACAGTCGACCTGCATCCCCCACATATAGGGCACTAGTCCTAACATGCAGTTGTGAGTCAGTTGTCAGATTGCAGTGCATGAAGGCTGGCAAATGTGTGCTCATAATGCTGCCTAACTTCTGAGAGAAATCTAGGCATGAATCAGTGCTTTTAGGATCAGTGTTTTCACTTTACTGCTGGGTGACTCATCTTTTGAGAGGGTCACAGTTTACAGCCTGCTCTGATAGATTTGTGTCCCCAAGCCAAAACAACCCTTGTTGCTGCTGGGAGGGATGTGTAGGGTGCTGTTTGTTTAGTCTGGGGGTTGAGGAAAGCTCTTTTTTTTTTTTTTTTTTTTAATCCTGACTGACATAGGTATATGTGAAGGCCTGCCCCTCATGCTGCTCTGCAGGCTGTGATTATTTTTAGGAGCACTATGAGACTGCAGAGCTGTGTGAATAAACTGAAGGGGAATACACAGCCTGGCTTCACAGCAGGCTGGTGCTGGGGGTTGTCATGTGGGCTCCCACAGCCATCCTGCCTGTCTGAGAACAAAATAAAGCACCAATACATAGCTGGTACCTTGCCCTTCTTCAAACCATTAGTCAGTCTTCTTAAACCATCTTAAAAAAAAGAAAAATTGCAGTTTTGTAGATCTAGCTGACCAAAGACCCACACAGCACATGAAGGACTTCAGTTTCCTCCCTGCCAGTGTCCCATTCTGTTGGTGCTGGCTGGGAATGAGCCCAGAGCCTCTGGGTGGGTGGGTGGGTGATGATGCCTGCCTGCTCCCCATGGGACTGAGTAGTCACATACTGATTTTACTCAAAGGCAAACCCAAAATCTAAGGCGAAAAAGTAGGCAGGGAGGCTAGACAGTACTTCCAGGCTAAATACCTACTTGCAAAAAGCTCAGGAAAGTAAGAGAGAATAATCCCTGAGCTTTGAAGATTATGGTTTCTTAGTTCTGGCTATATTTACACAGCTGCTCCACTAGAATTAAGAGCTAAAGATGACAGAATAGTTAGAAAGGAGAAGGTCAAGTACAGTTGTTGGCTGTGGGGTGTGTGGAGGGAGAGAGGATTTGAAACTGTTGTGATTTCCTAGCTTTTAAAGGCACATTGAACCCTAGGGAAATAGATATGATTTTAGACTGCTTAATTGGTTCAAAGTCTTTATTATTTTATACACTGTAGCTTTCCTATTGCTGAAATGAAACAATACCTCATTTAAGAAAGTCACCTAATCACTGCATTAATCTCAATTGACAAAAGAGAAAGTTAGCAGGGCTGTTGAGCCTTGTTAAACGTGCTGAGGGCTCCTGGCTGGCTCACAAGCTGCTGCATTTCAAGGTTCTTTCTAAAAATACCAGAATGGTAGAATTTAGGTCAGACAAAGTAAAGGTGTGAAGCCCGATACCTCAGACCCTACACGTAGTCCAGAGCCAACCCTGTAGCCACTTATCTTCTGTTACCAGTTTATGAATGGTAATTTAGGATGATTTCCTTTGGAGCATAACATCTTCATCCCTTTCCTGTTTCAGTGTCATTTGCCTTATAAGCTTTAACAGGTTGTTTTGATACTAGAACATGAATGAATTGGGCATCAAAAGGATGAGTTTGTGAATGGAGAGGATCAAGAGTGTTCACCTCTGCTTTAATGACTTGGGTTAGGTAAAACTAGTCTTTTTGTAAAGCAGGCTTAAGGGGATGAAGGTGACCTTTAAGAGGGAAATTTTCTAAAAATATCCTCTTGTTTCTAGCATTAGCTGAACTATGCTGATCTTAGAATTATTGTATGCTGTTGAAGCATGGGCTGCTGTTCTCTTGACACCAGTTGCATGATGACCTCTAAGATGCCTTAAACAGTTTGCAGACAAAAGGTGTAAAGTCTCCACAGTATTTCTGAATATATATATATATATCTATGATGTATGTTTTC